AATTTAAAATACATCTTTCAATATATATATTTGATACAGGTTGTTAAACAGATGCTATTGCCGCTTTTCAAGACTCTATTTGATAGATTCAGTACTTTGAACGACCTAGTCAGCAACATACTTGCTACACATGACGTCCAAAATATAGCCTAGTGCAAGGGAAGATTACAAGAATGTGTGAGAAAGTGTCATTAATAGACATGTGCAGGACCAAGCATCCTTTGTTTCCTATACTGATTCCGGAACTAATACTTTTTTAGTTTCCCGAGTATCTGCACCAACCTTGGTACCTATTCAGATAAGCTCATTGGAGAACTAATTCATATCAAGTCTGAAATAATTCTTTAAAACTCCGGTTTTTTTTCATAAATTTTTTCGATGACAGAGATTGCCCAGACTAAATTTTCGTGTTCTATATGCTAATTGGATGTTGACTACAGATGTACGGAATCAAGTTTTTTAAATTTTTGTCTCTGTCTTGTTCCAGCTTCCGATAAAGTCTTACATGTTTAGTAAACCCTGTGTCAATTAATGGAAAGACTTTTCATTAGAGTAATATTTTGTGTCGAATTTCTCTAAGATATTAGAAAGACATGAGTTACGGTTTCAGATGCTTGTATACTCGAAAAAATGTTGAACTTATGCAATTAGTAAGGAAGCCGCTTGCTTTTTACTCAAGACGATTGATAATATACGATACTCTGAACAACGCAATCAACTATTAGGATTAAAATGAAGAATTGTTTTCTACTATAGGAACCTATTTTATCAATGCTATATAACAGTAAAGCATCCTATTACGTAGAAGAATGATAATTCATTTATAATTTCATTGTCTTTCGATTTTTTTAGAGATAAGGTTTTGCAATGTGCCAATCGATTCATCCTTTGAATCAGGTGAGTATCAAGCATGCTTTGCTGTGAATGAATAACTAAATGTAAAAAAAACAATTTCAGAGCCACAATAGAAATATCCATGGTCAATTGAATAGTGATCCACCAGTCTCATCAGCTTCACAGTGAGTGCGATTATTGAATTTAACTTAATTATAGTAGAAATTATCAGGAATCCAGCAAGAAAGAAACTGATAATTATAGGGTTGACTGCCCTTCTTATAATCGTTTTGGTCGGATCACTATTGGGTCTGTTTCGGGTAGTTTGCGGTGTAGGTCCACTTTTCAAAGTATGCACAAACCAAACAGCAACTACTATTACTACGACTAGGACAACAACAACAACAATAGCAACAACAACTACAACAGCAACCACAACAACAACTACAACAACCACAACAACAACCACAACAACAACTGCAACAACAACAACAATAGCGGCAACAACAACAATAGCAACAACAACAACAACCACAACACCAAATCCATGTAAGTAAAACAACACTCTACTCAATAATCTTATTATAACTACAATGTTATTATTTTCCCTTCAACATAAAAAATAATAAAGAAAAAAAACATTCTTTATATATTATAATACCACTCACATTGAAACTATTTAGAAGTTTGAAAAAAAATACAAATTATAACACGAATTTTACATACTAAAGTCAACAAAGAAAAGTATAAAAGATCATCACTAATCATATAATTCAATATAGATTTATTTTAAGCCTCTAAAATTAATATTACTAGTGAATGTATGCATACATTAACTAACATTGATGTCTTACACTATATATATACACCCCTGGAAAGCAAAAGTTAGCCACTATGTTTAACCTCTTTTTACACTCGAAAACGACTTATTGGGAAACTAATTATGCCATTCGATAGCCCTCGTCGAGCTCTATCAAAATATGCCTTTTAATCATATCTGGCTTTTATATAGTGAAAAATTAATCAAGTGGAATGAAGATGCGACGAAAGTGAGATTCCCAAAACTTGATTTTGTCACTGTCATCAAAATTTGTTTTTTAAATTTTTTATCACTATAGAATTACCTTTTTAAAAAGCAAGTGGATATTCTGATAGACCTCGAAATTCTCTATCACCTTATATATGTACCTATTCTCTTGTCTTTATTTCTTGAAATATAATTTGAGTATAACAAAGATATTCCCAGGTGACACAAACAAAAGGAAGTGCAATTTGTTTCGCTATTTTTTCAAATTACACCTACTCTGTGAATGAGTTATTATAAAGGTAAGTCTGCATTCTGACAGAGCTTGAAATTCTCTATCTTCCTATATAATTTTGTGTTGTCTCGTATTTATTCGTCATGGCAGACAAACGTGAGATAGCACAAAATTATATAGGAAGATAGAGAATTTCGAGCTCTATCAGAATATACAATTGCTTTTTAAAAAAGGTAATTCTATAGTGATAAAAAATTTAAAAAACAAATTTTGATGACAGTGACAAAATCAAGTTTTGGGAATTTCACTTTCGTCGCATCTTCATTCCACTTGATTAATTTTTCACCATATAAAAGCCAGATATGATCAAAAGGCATATTTTGAAAGAGCTCGACGAGGGCTATCGAATGGCATAATTAGTTTCCCAATAAGTCGTTTTCAAGTGTAAAAAAAGGTCAAACATAGTGGCTAACGTTTGCTTTCCAGGGGTATAGATGATGATGATGGTGCAATTACATATTATCATCCTTTTTTATTGTACCATTGTTAGGTAGGTCAGGCGCCTTACGTTGGAATACATCAGCTACAACTATAGTTAATTCA